ACTGGGTATACACCCAAAGGATTATAAATCATGCTGCTCTAAAGACACATGCACACATATGTTTATTGTGGCACTATTCACAATAGCAAAGACTTGGAACCAACCCAAATGTCCATCAATGACAGACTGGATTAAGAAAATGTGGCACATATACACCATGAAATACTGTGCAGCCATAAAAAAGGATGAGTTCATGTCCTTTGTAGGGACATGGATGAAGCTGTAAATCATCATCCTGAGCAAACTATTGCAAGAACAGAAAACCAAACACCGCATGTTCTCACTCATAGGTGGGAATTGAACAATGAGAACACTTGGACACAGGAAGGGGAACATCACACACCGGGGGCCTGTCGTGGGGTGGGGAGATGGGGGAGGGATAGCATTAGGAGATATACCTAATGTAAATGACGAGTTAATGGGTGCAGCACACCAACATGGCACATGTATACTATGTAACAAACTTGCACGTTGTGCACATGTACCCTAGAACTTAAAGTATAATTTTAAAAAATGAAAGTTATATAAAAATAAATAAATAAATAATTATAGACCATGACCAAGTGGGATTTATCCATGAAATGCAAGGATGGTTTATATATGAAAATGAACCAATGCAATAAACCATATTAACAGAATGAAAAACAAAAAAACACACAATTATCTCAACTAATGCAGAAAAAGCATTTGACAATATTTAACACCCTTTCATGATTTTAAAAAACCACTCAACAAACTAAAAACAGAAGGAAATTACCTCAACATAACAAAGGCAATATATAAAAAATCCATAGCTAATATCACGCTCAATGGTGAGAAACTGAAAGCTTTTCCTCCAAGATAGGAACAAGCCCACTCTCACATCTTCTATTCAACATAGTACTAGAGGTCCTAGTAAGAGTAATTAAGCAATAAATTGGAAAGGAAAAAATAAAATTATGTGCAGATGACCTGATCTTAAATGTAGCCCTAGATTTCAAAGGATGTCATGAACAGCCTGGGGCAGAGACTTGTTACAGGGGTGGAGCCACTGTAGAGACCCCACTAGGACAATGCCCAGTGGAACTGTGGGGTCAGAACCACTGCATAGAGTCCCCCACTAGGCCTAGAGGAGCTGTGGCGGCAGGGCCGTTCCCAAGACCCCAGAACTGTAGCGCTACCAGTGTGCAACACCAGTCTGGGAGAGCTGCAGGCACAAGATTTCAACCCACGAGAGCTTCTGTGTGGACTGAGCCCAGGAAAGCCACAGAGTAGACTTGCTTAGGATCTCCTCTCTTTTTCTCTGTCTCTCCTTTTTGGAATGCAAATGTCTATCCTATGACTGGCTCACCACTGTATTTCAGAAGCACATAACTTGTTTAATTTCACAGGCTCAGAGCTGGAAATTTGCCTTAGGATGAATAGTGATTTGAGTCTCACCCATATCTGATTTCAGATGAGACTCTTGGGCTTTGGAATTTGGAGTTGATTCTGAAATCAGTGAAGACTTTTGGGGATATTGGGATGGAATGAATGTATTTTGTATGTGAAAAGGGCAAAAGTTTTGGGGAGCCAGGGGTGGAATGCTATGGTTTGAATGTTTACCCCCTCCAAAACTCATGTTGAAATTTAATTGCCGGTGTTGAGTTTAAAGAGGCAGGACCTTTTAAGAGGTGATTAAGCCATGAGGGCTTCACCCTTGTGGGTGCAATTGGTGCCATTACAAAAGTGTGAGTTCAATCTCCTCTTCCACATTCCTTCATGGGATGATGCTGCAAGGAGGGCCTCATCTGATGCTGGCCCCTTGATCTCGAACTTCTCTGCCTCCAGAACTGTGAGGCAATAAATTTTCCACCCTTATAAATGACCATCTGTGGTATTCTGTTATGGCAGCACAAAACAAACTAAGACAATGGCTGAGAGGGTAAATTTTATGTTATGTGTTTTGTACCACAATAAAAAAGTACTATCACATTTGAGTTTTTTTTTAAAAGGAAAGAATGTTTATAAAATAAATGAAGCACTAATATATTCCATAACATAAACCTTATGAAAACATTATGGTAAGTGAAAGAAGCCAATCACAAAGACCATGTCTTAGCCCCTTTTGTGCTGCTATGACAGAATGCTATACTGGGTAATTTATAATGAATAGAAATTTATTTCCTCATAGTTCTAGAGTTTGGGAAGTCCAAAATCAAGGAGCTGGTGTCTGTTGAGGGCCTTCTTGCTGTACCATTCCCTAGCCAAAGGGGAAAGAGAGGGCAATAGAGGAGCAAGAGGGAGCCAAACTTGTTCTTTTGTAAGGAACCCACTTCTGCGACAACAGACCCACTCTCACAATAGCATTAATCCATTCGTGAGGGTGGTGCCCCCATAATCTACTGACCTCCCATTAGGCCCCATCTCCCAGAACTACCTCACTGGAGATCAAGTGGTCAACACATGAACTTTAGGGGACATATTCTGATATAGTTTGGGTCTGTGACCCTGCCCAAATCTCATGTCAAATTGTAATCCTCAATGTTGGAGGTGGGACTTGATTGGAGGTGATTAGATCATGGGGGAAGATTTCCCCCTTTAGTGCTCTTCTTGTGATGAGTTCTCATGAGATCTGGTTGTTTAAAAGTGTGTGGCACCTTCCCCCGTCTCCTTCTCTGGCCATGTAAGATGAGCCTGTTTCCCCTTTGCCTTGCACCATGATTATAAGCTTCCTAAGGCCTCTCCAGCCATGCCTCCTGTACAGCCTGTGGAACTGTGAGCCAATTAAGCCTCTTTTCCTTATAACTTAGTTTCAGGTTATTGATAGCAGTGTGAAAACGGCCTAATCCACATTCAAACCACACCAGATCATATACTGTATAATGACTGTATGATTCCACTTATTTGAAATGTCTAGAACAGGCAAATCTACACACATAGAAAGTGTATTCATGGTTGCCTAGTGCTGGGGAGAACAGAGGAGTTGGGAGTTACCTTAGTCTGTTCCAGCTGCCATAACAAATGTACCACACAGTGAGTAGCCGATAAACAACAACAAATGATTTCTTACAGTTCTGGAGGCTGGGAAGTCCAAGATCAAGGCACCAGCATAATGAAATTTGAGTGAGAACCCACTTTCTAGCTCACAGATGACTGTCTTTTCATTGTGTCCTCACAAGGGAGAAGGGGTGAGTGACCTGTTTGTGGCCACTTTCATAAGAGCACTGAGCTCATTTATCAGGGCTACGCCCTCTTGACCTACTCACTTCCCAAAGGCCCCATCTCCTAATACCATCAGTTTAGGGGTTAGGATTGCAACTTACGAATTTTGAGGGTACACAAACATACAGACCATAGCAGAGGTTATAGCTAAAAGTTTTATTCTAGAGGTGATGTTCTAAAATTTATTGTGGTGATGGTTGTACAACTCTGTGAATACACAAACACTGAACTGTACATTTTAAATGGGTAAATTTTATGGAATGTAAATTATATCTCAATAAATCTGTGGTGGGGCAGAGTGGCTCATGCTTGTATTTCCAGCACTTTGGGAGGCCAAGGTGGGCAGATTGCTTGAACTCATGAGTTCAAGACCAGCCTGGCCAACATGGTGAAACCCCATTTCTACAAAAGATGCAAAATAATTTAGCTGGGTGTGGTGGTGCATGCCTGTAATCCAGCTACTCGAGGCTGAGGTGGAAGGATTGCTTGAGTCCAGGAGGTTGAGGCTGCAACGAGCCAAAATCACCACCACTGTACTCCAGCCTGGGTGAGAGTGAGACCTTGTTTCAAACCTCCTCCCCTCCAAAAAACCCCACTATTATCTGTTATGAAATATTCTTATGTTTAAAGAAAGTTGCTACATAATGAGAAAACATTCAAATCACCAGAGATTTGACAATTCTTAACTTGTATTCAGATAACAACCGAGTGTCAAAATACATAAAGTAAAACTTGACATAACATATAGACAAATATATGACAGTGGAAGCATATAAATTAGTAAAAGAATAAATTTGAAGGGCTTACATTACCTGATTTTGAGATTTACTACAAAGCTACAGTAACCAAGATAACGTGTGGTTTTGGCAAAGGGATGGACACGTAGATCAATGGAATAGAATAGAAAACTGAGAAACAGAGCCACTTAAACACGAGCAATCAATTGTTGACAAAAGGGCAAAGGCAATTCAATGGAGAAACAATCTTTTCCACAAATGATGCTGAAACAACTGGATAACCACATGTAAAAACAATGAGCCTAGGCCTTTAACACATTATATAAAAATGTGAAAATTTTCACAATATGAAAAACATTACCAATAAGCTAGTAGAAGAAAAATTTCCTAAACATTAGTTCGGGATGGGTTCTTAAATATGACACCAAGGTATGGTCCATAAAAGGAAAAACTGGACTTCATTAAAATTTAAAACCTTTGCTTTATAAAAGACACTGAAATAAAAATTGAATAAAAGAGAATAAAAAGACAAACCACAAACTACAAAAATAAACTAGGAAAACAAACAATAGAATTCTTTTAAAATGGCAAAAGATTTGAACACTTCATCAAAGATACACAGATGGACAAAAGCACATGAAAAGATGCTCAACATCATTAGTTATTAAGGAAATGCAAACTGAAGCTACAATGAGATACCACTACACATCTACTAGAATGGATAAAATAAAAACAATGAGAATACCAGGTGTTGGCAAATTATGGAGCAACCACATCTTCATACATTGCTGGTGGGAAAACAAATTCAACCAATCATTCTGGAAAAGGTTGGCCCTGTGTTACAAAGGTAAACATATACTCACGATATGACCTAACCATTTTACTCCAATATTTACCCTACAGATATCAAAATTTATGTTCATACAAAAACCTAATGTTTGTAATAGTGTTATTCATAATCACTAAAAATTATAAACAACCAAAATGTGCTTCAGTGGGTTAATGGCTAAGAATACTGTGGTACCTAACATGGAAAACTACTCAGCAATCAAAATTAATAAAAGACACAACACTGATGAAAATCAAAGCCTTTATACTCAATGCAGGGTGGGGAGCCACTCTTAAAAAAAAGCAGCACAACGGGAATTTGTTGGTGCAGTGGAATTGTTCTGTACCCTTTATGGTGATGGTTACACAAGTCTACACAGGTCGTTTTAAGACAGAACTGTGGAAGGAAGAAAGGAAGAAGGGAGAAAGAAAGAGAAAGGGGTGAAAGGAGAAGGAGGAAGATGGGAAGGAGGAGAGAGAGAGGGAGAAGGAGAAGGAGGAACTATTATAACCACACACACAATTATGGTGGTAGTTACAAGGGTAATATCTTCGTCAAACATAGCAAACACCTTTAAGTGAGTGAATTTTATTGTGCACTTTGATAAAAGTTGATTTTTGCAAAAGTTCAAAAAGTCAGTTATTTTAAAAGACTAGTAAAATTGACACATCTCTAGAAACATTACCAATAGAGGATACAAATAAGCAACATCAGGAAAGAAAAAAGGGACATAAGTTCAGATAGAACAAGTACTTGAAAATAAAACCATTTTAAACAACTCGAAGACCAAACAGGATACATTTTTAGAAAAACCTACAACTTTCTAGAAGAAATAGTAAATCTAAATAGCCCCTAAAACCAACCAAACCATACACTACAAACACAATAACCCCAGTTTAACAGATGAATGCAACTAAAATTCAAGGGACACAAACTCCCCCAGAGAGAGAGAAAAAAAATCATGAAATTGCATCCCAGGAATGCAAGGATTCTTTAACATCAGAAAATCAATGTACTTTACCACATTAATAGATGAAAAGGAACCACATGGTTATCTCAAAAGATGCATATTTTAACAGGATCCCAGAAAACTTATTTAAAAAGATAAAAAGTCTCATTCCATTATATTCACAGTTGTTTTTATTGGGTCACCACTGTGAAGCATACATGATGGATATGTCTTCTAAATGACTGTATCATTAATACCTAATAGTTATGTAGCACCTGATAGCTTACAAACCACATTTGCATCCCTTTTCTACCTAACTCTAATCATTCTCAAGTAGACATTAAATTTTAAAACATTTATCTATGAGGAGATAGATATCAAAGGATGAAGGTGACTTGTCCCAAATCTCAGTTATTTTCATTCTTTATTCTGTTGATTCTCTATGATCTCATATGTCATATGGCAAATTAAAGTGAACAGATAGCCACATGTAGATAACATACAACTGGAAAAAAATCTGAAATTCTGAGTCCAGTTCTCCAGTGCTTCTTATATGCTTTTCAAACAAAAATACAAATACAAAAAATTTAACCCTATAGTTTATATTCTTAGTCATATCTATCCTTCTCAAGTTTATAACCTACAATTAAATACTGGTGTTTCCTCAATTTATAAACTATTGTTTCTTCAAAGCTAGATGAAGCAGGCTGATAGTTTCTATCTACCAAATTGGCAGCTTATCTTCAGGAATCCAGCGAGCATTTCTTTTAGTACCTATTCCTAACTGGTTACAAATGACCTGTATACACCACAAACCCTATATATACCACAACTTGATGTGTGATTTCAGTGTCAAGCACAAGGATGTCACGGGAAAGGTGGAGCACTACTTTCTCCTACTGCTCTCACTAAGTACGACTAAAAATCTGGGATATTATATACAAAGCAAACATAAGAAAGTTCTAGAAGGTGGAGAGAGAATGGACTGGCTAGGGACCTCAGAACCTGAGGAAGAACACAGCAGTGACATTCTTGGGTTTTCTTATTGCCTCATCTATCCCAGATTGGGTTCTAGAGAAGCTGACAACCCAGAAATGCCAACAGGCACAGGCACAGACCCCCCCCCCCAAAAAAAAAAGCCCCAAGAAAAATCTGCTTTTTCTAGCCAAAGGACTGGAAAGGGAGTAGCCTAGCAAGACAGAAAATGTTTAGGAAACCACAATCCTACTTAAAAGACCACAGAAGTAAGCTATGGTCCTATCCCCACCAACAAAGGCCTATACTTCCACCCTCACCAGGCTGTAACAAGGCTCTCAGTCCTCCACCTTTAGCCTGGGGTGGTATCAGAGAAGACCAAGTGGGCAGATAGATTTCTAAAACCCACACCTCCCCACACATCACCCTGGCAGTGTCCCCCCTACTCAGAGCCATCTCTCTTCTTTCTTACTGGTGTGGTCTCAGTGGAAGCCAAGTGGGGGGTCAAGACTTACACCAATTCCCAACAGTAATGATGTCACCCTCAACCCCACACCATGCTGTCAATCGAGGCCACGTAAATAGCAGTAACAAGGCGTTCCTGATCTTCCCTGGCCAGTGTGGTGTCAGCGGAGGCCTAGTGGGGAGCTGTAAATCCCACCCTTGCCCAGCAGTAGTGAGGACCCCTGCCCAGGAGTCATTAGAGGCCAATGGTGAACCTGGACTTCCAACACCAACTTAAAGTAAGGAGGCAGCACCCCCGCAACACGTTCTCCACCACAGCGGTATCCGAGGAGGCCTGTCAATGCAGAAGACTTCAACAGGATACCGAGTCTCACACCAAAATACTCCAAATGTCCAGACTTCAACTGAAAATCACTCCTCACACCAAGAACCAAGAAAATCTCAACTTAAATGAGAAGATAACCCAAAGATGTCAATACTGAGATGACACAGATGTTAGGATAACCTGCAAGGATTTGAGAGCAGCCATCACAAAAATGCCTCAAAGAGTAATTACAAACATGCTTAATGCAAACAAAATAAGCAAAGAAAGGCTCTCAGCAAGGAAACAAAGAATCATGTGCAACTAAAAAATACAATAACTGAAATAAAATTCAAGGATGGTCTCAACAGCAGAATCAAAAGGACAGAGGGAAGATCTAGTGAACTGGAAGACAGAACAACAGAAAATACTCAATATGAAGAGAGAAAACTGTGATGAACTATGTCCCCCCACCCCAATTCATTATGTGGACACCCTAACCCTCAATGTGACTATATTTGGAGATAGGTTCTGAGGAAGTCATTAAGGTTAAAAGAGACCTTAAAGGTGGGGTCCCAATCCAACTTCTCTCCACACCTATGCACTGAGAACAGGTCATGTGAGAACACAGTGAGAGTGCAACCATCTACAAGCCAGGAACTGAACGCAGTTGGACCCTGATTTTAGACTTACAGCCTCCAGAACTTTGAGAAATAAATTTCTGTGCTTTGAGCCACCCAGTCTATGGATGTTTGTTATGGCCGACCAAGCAGATTGAGATTCCGGTACCCAGAGGCGGATGCTGCTGTAACAGACGCCTCAAAATGTGGAGGCAGCTTTGGACAGGGTGATGGGTAGAGACCAAGAGTTCTGAGGTACATGCTAGAGATGCGGATATTAAAGGCCACTCTGGCAAGGCCTCAGATGGCAATGAGGTACATATTATTAGAACTGGAAAAAAAAAAAAAAAAAGGTGGCTCTTGTTATAAAGTGGCAAAGAACTTCTCTGAACTGTTCTAGTGTTTTCTGAAAGGCAGAACTTGAGAGTGATGAAACTGTTTATTTAGCAGATTTCTAAGCAAAGTACTGAAGGTGCGGCTTGGGTCCCCTTAGTGCTTGTAGTAAAATGTGGGAGGAGAGAGATGAAGTGAAGAAGGAACTGTTAAGAAACAAGGAAACACAATTAAAGAAACGTGAACATTCCATTCGTATCACAAAAATATGAGAAAATGTGCTATGAAGAAAACACTAAGCGTGTGGCTTAAAAACTATTTCAACCATTTGATAAATAGATCAAATGGGTTTAGCAGCCCCAGGAGAAGCCAGGAATATAATGGGATTATAACAGCAGAAACACAGCCACCTGGCACTAAAGGGGACAGAAAAACAACAAAATAAAATGAAGGCAGGCTTTAGGACTTCTTAGATCCTACAGAACCAGAGAGCCATTTGTCTATGAGTATGTGTTATCCTTCAAGAAAAGAGAATGACCCTGAAAACAATTCAGAGACCACTGGGGATGCCTCCTGTTTCAAAGGGTGGAACCATCACCCTGGTTTCAACAGAACAGAAAGCCTCCAACTGAAGCCTTAGGGGCAGAATTACCCTAGAGGCTTAGGCAAGGGGCTACCTGGCAGTACCAGAGACAGGACCTCTACCCCAGTGGGTCCGGGAGGCACAAAAGAGGATTACTCTCACAAGATCTGACGAAACACAAGACCTAACGGAATTTGCCTTGCTAAGTTTTGGACTTGCTCAGGACACATCCCTCCTCCTACTTTCCTATTTCTCCCTCTGTGGAATGGGAATGCCTACATTATGTCCAGACCACAAATGTATTTTGCAAGCACATAACTTGTTTGGTTTCACAGGTTCACAGCTGGAAAGTCATTGTGCCTCAGGATGAATTGCACCTTGAGTCTTACCCGTATCTGATTTAGGTGATATTTACTTGAAGGTCTGGACTTTAGAGCTAATGCTAGAATGAGTTAGGGCTTTTGGGGCTGTTGGAGTGGAATAAATGTATTCTGCATGCAAGGACATAAATTCGGTGAGGGGCTGGGGTGGAACGTTATGGACTAAATGTATCCCCTCTTCCCCAAAATTATGTTGAAGTCCTAATCCCCAATGTGAATTTATTTGGAGACAGCGTTTTCAGGGGGGTAATTAGGGTTAAATGAGGTAAGAAGGGCAGAGTCCTAATCTGCTAGAACTGGTGGACTGATAAGAAAAGGGAGCTATTTCTCTCTCCCTCTCCCAGCTGGCCCACCTGCATGCACTACGGACATGAGAAGACACAGTGAGAAGGCAGCCATCTGTAAGCCAGGAAGAAAGCCCTCATTAGAGGCAGAGTCAGCAGGCACCTTGATCTTGGACTTCCCAGCCTTCAGAACTGTTAGAATTACATATTTTTTTGAGTCACCCGGTCAGTCTATGCTGTCTTGTTATGGCAGATTGAGCAGATTCAGACAAAAATCGTCAAGAAAAAATGAACAGAGCCTCAGGAACTTGTGAGACGACAACCAAAGAGCTCCTATTTCTTTCATTAGAGTCCCAGGAGAAAAGGAGTAGAAGGTGGGGGCTGAAATGTATTTAAAGAGATGAGGGCTGAAAATCTACCAAATTTGGCAAAAGACATAAACCTACACATTGAAGAAGCTAAGCAAACCCAATAGGGTAAACTAAAAGAAATTCACACCAAGATACATCATAGTACAGCTTCCTAAAATTAAAAACTCTGCACTCAAAATAATGTGTCCAATAATCTTCAAAGTTTCAATGAAAAAAAAATATATAAAAAGACGCCACCTGCCTCTACCCAAGAGTAAAATGGTAAACGGTATTTCAAAGTCTTTTCAAGCTTTTCATAATCTAATATGCAGTGTCAGTGCAAATCTACAACTAAACTTTACTATAAGCTATAAAAAATCTAAGGGACAAACTAGATACAACTGAGGTAAATCTTTATAAATAAGCACATTCTCAGGTAACTCAGATACCTTAAAACAGTTTGAATACATCAAAAGTCTCTTCTGTACTCAATTTTCTAAGCTGTGGCTCCTGACCCTTGGAAATTAACATGATTTAGTAGGCGATGTCTCAGTAAGCAAGGTCTAAAAGACAAAAAGTGCAGAAGCAAACACCCTGCATTACCCTGCAGCCAACAGTCCTTAGCTGCACGGTAAAGCTACCCTCACAGAAACAGTCAGCCAACAGTCCTTAGCTGCAGCCTAAAGCTACCCTCACAGAAACAGTCAGCCAACAGTCCTTAGCTGCATGGTAAAGCTACCCTCACAGAAACTTTTCAACTGGACAACTATTAAGTCTAATATTTTTCACGGTTGTGAATATTCAGTTGAGTAGTTAACATAATCAATATTTTTTGGGTTCATTCCCCGAGCTCTTTTTTTCTATCCTTTCCCTCTACTTCCTTTGGCTCTTTAAACTTAAGAATGCAGGACAACTTCCCTTCCACCACCACTCCTGACTCTGGACAAACTCATTGTGAATTCTCAATCTCTTATTTCTACCCACGCAACTTCCCTAAAAGTATAACTTATCTCCTTTAAAACTTATATTCTTAGTATTATGAAAATATCTAGCACAGTCAAGATGTCCCCTTTCCACCACAGCATACCCCATTTCTCTCCCAAGGATATGGTAATTTACATACACGTTAGGGTGTTACAAATAATTTCCCTCTTTCCTGACGGAAATTCAGCGTCCTCTGCCAGAACACTTTTAAAAATGTAAAACTATACTTTCACAGTCTAATCATGCTACAACCCATATCAGCAGTGACTTCTCAATAACTTTTTTGCAACACCATCTTAAATCTCTTTGTAGACCCCCATGGCAAGCACGGTAAATGCTCAGTAAGTATGCTCTGAATGTACCACATGTACATGGTCTTTATCCAGTATGAATTCTCTTGTGTTGGCCAAAGGTTAAGTGCTCACTAAAAGCTTGGACATATTTCTTGGTTTTCACTCCAGCATGAGTTTTCTGATGTTGAGAGAGGGATGAGCTCTGGCTGAAGGCTTTTCCACATTCCTTACACTTGTACGGCTTTTCTCCAGTGTGAGTTTTCTGATGCTTTGTAAGAGACGAGCTCTGGCTGAATGCTTTTCCACAATCTTTACATTTGTAAGGTTTCTCTCCAGTGTGTGTTCTCTGATGACGAATAAGGGCTGAGCGGTCACTGAAGGCTTTGGCACAATCATTGCATTTATAGGGTTTCTCCCCAGTGTGAGTTCTCTGGTGCTGAGTCAGGGCTGAGCAGTAGCCAAAGGCTTTCCCACATTCGTTACACTCGTAAGGCCGCTCCCCAGTATGAGTCCTCTGGTGCTGAATAAGACCTGACCGATCACTAAAGGCTTTGCCACATTCGTTACACTTATAGGGTTTCTCTCCAGTGTGAATGACCTGATGCTGGGTAAGGAATGTGCTTTGGCTGAAGGCCTTCCCACATTCGTTACACTCATAAGGTTTCTCTCCAGTATGAATTCGCTGATGTTGAGTGAGGTATGAACTCTGGTTAAAGGCCTTCCCGCATTCATTGCATTCATAGGGTTTTTCTCCAGTATGAATGATGTGATGCCGAATAAGGGCTGAGCGGTGACTGAAGGCTTTCCCACACTCATGGCATTCGTAGGGCTTCTCTCCAGTATGAATTCTCTGGTGCAGAGTAAGGTGTATGCTCTGGCTAAAGGCTTTCCCACACTCCTTACATTCATAGGGTTTTTCTCCGGTGTGAATTCTCTGATGTAAGACAAAAGCTGAGTAGTAACTGAAGGCTTTCTCACACTCACTGCATTTCCAAGGTTTCTTTCCTGCACAAATTCTCTCGTGCCGAATTATTTCTGAATTTTGTTTTAAGTTATTTTTAAATGACTCACAATGATGTAGTCTCTCTCCCTGCTGCTGAACGAGTAAGGACCTCCGAGTGCAACTTCTTCTAAATTCATCAAATTGGTAACTTCTCTCCCTAGAAGATTTCTGAGTGACGGCCTCTTGGATTAAATGTTTCTCATGGTTTTCCTGCTGACTCTCTAAAGAATCCTCACGTTCACTAGAACCTTCCTTTGAAAATCTTACAATTAACACCCCAGGGGCCGATTCTTCTTCAGAAATACCCTTCTCTGGAGTGAGCTCCTTGCTTTCTGGTATTGTTTCCCAGTCTGAAATGAGCAAAAATACACACGTGTATCATTTCCTACCCTGGGAGAAAAATAACTGCTGGGGTAGGAAATTAATGAGACATGTTTGTTAAGAATATTTACAGGGAACACATGAACTTCAAAGCTCTCAAAAATAGTCTTGCAATCTTGGGAGAACACAAGAAAAAAAAGATGACTGGACAAAGAAGTACAGCTGCGTAAAGGAGAGTGTGTACAGGTACTCAACGTTCCCCTATGCAGCAGGATAGGAAATAACGAAAAATAACAGAATGAGACTAACAAGAGGTGATGTGGAGAAATAGCAGATTTTTTTTAAAGGACTTAGAGGGACAGGGCTTGGATCAGAGAAAGATGGTCTTCCAAAGACTTACCGTACCCATCTGACCAGAGCCTTATCGTTTCATGCCTCGAGAATGACCATCTTTAGCTAATCTCCTTGCCACCAATCCTTTCCTACTCCAATATGTCCCAACCACTGCTAACAGACTAATTGCTGAAAACCATCTCCTTTTCACAAAAATCTGTTGCTTCTACTGTCTCAAGATGAGACACAAATTCTAGAAGCTAGCATTCAACATGGTCCAGGTCTACAAACTCAAATGAGCACAAAGCTTATTAACTGGAAAGCAACTAATCGCCTCTCATTGCTTACCACCACCTTAGACCCAGCAAACTGGAAAGAGTAAAACAGAACCAAGAAGAAAGAAAAAAGAGAGAAAGGAACGAAAGAGAAAAACAGCAGTGTGTTGTGAGAGGAAGGCTGAAACTCCATGTTTCAGATTAGTCCCCAACCTCTCAAGATACCTGCCCCAAGTTCCTGGGCTTCCTAGTAAGAATTTGAGGGGAAAAGCTTCACTGCTAAAAATGTTTCAATCCTTGCAAGCTTAAGCGGTCTTCAATATCCATTCCAATCATGTCTCTACAGGAAATAAATTAATACAATACAGTGCTCTCAACGAGATATACTCAGGGAAGTGCCTGGGATTTTAAATAGGTAGAAGAGGTAAGGCAAACGGACTTCCAGCTAAGGGGAGTGTAAAAATTAAAGCCCCAAATGTTCACGAAGAACACACGGTTAGTGGAGGACAGTGAGGGACTTGCTTATCTGATGTTAAGAGTTCAAGCTGAAGAACAGAGAAGGCAAAAAAGTTAGGCAGGTAGACTAACAACGGCTTTGAAAGCAGGTAGAGGAATACAGAACTGGCAGTGTAAGCAACTCACTGGGGCATCTAGCAGTATTATGCTGCCTCAATTTTACAAAGATAAGAGTAAAGAAAGTATAATTAACCAGTAGTCTATTGCAGTAACAGAAGTAACAGGGTCAAATCCATAACATCTTTCAAAAAAGTTACGAGGACTTAACAGCTATCATTTGCTTAGCATATAGCCAGGTACTGTTTAAAACACTTCTCTTGGATTATTTCCTTTGACCGTCACCACAACAGTATAAGCTCTGTGCTGTCACTATCCCCATTTCACCACTGGGGAAATTTAAGTCACAGAGAACACAAGTCACCTGTTAAAGGTCACAAAGCTAATGAGTAGCTAAGATCGGGTTTAAACCAAGGGAGCTTAGTTCCAAAGTCTGCAGTCTTAACCATCATGCCATGCCGCCTCTGCTTAGACAGAGAAGGTGGCAAGGGAAAACCCAGAGATGAATTTACAGTCATTGATCTGAGACTCAAAAACATGGCGTTCGGCAAAGATAAAATGACACATGGAAAATCCTGCTTTAGAGCCTTGAACCCAAGCAAGTTATTAACAAACATTAAAATGTTGGTTTCATTGCACCTTATTTGGGAAAAAGAATTGGTTTGAAAGAGTAGAAAGTATTTACTTTCTAAAACATCAAATTATAACTTTATAAACAGATCACCATCCACGGAGCTAGGATGTGGCACAGGGGAAAGACAGGGACTTCAACTTTTCCATGGGTCTAGCAATATCTGGACAGGCTCCTCCTCCATAAGCATTTCCATTGACAATCTGGGTTTTACTCGCACTGTTTTCAACACTCACGCACCTGGAGCGGCTGCTTTTGAAACTTCTCTCTTCAGTTCCTCCTCATGCTCCAACTGAGAGATTACATCAGGTGTGGAAATTGGAAGCCCTATTCATAGGGAAAGAAAAAGGAGTCTGGTAAAGACCTCAGTGTTCGTTCCTTGGTCTTCAGGAACATGGTAAGAGAGGGAGAGTGAGGTCAGTTCTCCATTTCTTCCTCGACAGTGCTCTCGAGGTAGGAAGATTGATAGGGGGTTGAGTCCCTCATCAATTTTACCTCCCCCTATTTAAAGAATAAGCATCCATTCTCTTAAGAGTTGTTTTCATTAGCACTTTGTCTCCACATCCTTGGTGAAGGAGTAGAGAAGAAGGATGCTACAGGTCTATAAAATAAAGGTGTTTATGTCTAATTCCAGGAGTGTTAAAACTATATCCAGAAACAAAAGGCAGAAATTGCCTGTCTCAGGCCCTACTAGAATTAAGAATCATTGAATATAAGGACCCTGGAGCTCCTAGGAACTGAGGAGACCAAGGTACCACACTGGGTAAAATCACGGGCACTGGGGGAGCCATCCTTACCCAGCAAGACCAGATTCCTGGGCTTCTCAGGCACATCTCCCTGAGGAGAGTTCAGCTGCCTCCACTGGGTGAGAGCCTCAGCCATATCCCTGATCATCAGTTCCTGAAAAACCAAACAGATTGGTGCTCACCAACGAGCCTCCTTATAGAGGCCTCTGAAGAGGGCTAAAGCTGACAGCACAGGAAGAGGAAGACAGGAAGGATAAAAAGAGGACAGACAACATGGCCTCGGCCACCCTTTCCAGTACTAACATTCTCTGGTGAATTTGTAGTCCACAGACTCACTCTTTGCCTCCAGGCAACAGAAATGCATATTACCTGCAAGTAGGAAGGAAAGTACCTTCAATGTAAAACTTGAAGGTATGAACTTCTTAGTTTATTTATTAATAAATTGCAGACCTACAGAATTTGCTACTACTTATATAGGAAAAGGGGGAGAAAAATGTAATGATGAATTACATATTTTCCTTATGGTATAGTTTTTAAAATATACGGGGTTCAAGAAATGGAAGTATTGTTTTCTCTAGTTTTCCTAAGAATGAAATCAGTTCCATATATACTAAAAATTAAGATGTTTCCTACACGTCACAGAATATAGACTTATTTGTAAAACAGTATCTGAAGCCCAAAATACTATGAAAGTTCCTAGAGTGTTCTTGTCATTTTTCACAACGACCCTGATCAGTCTGCCCCTGCCCCCCAGCTGGTGGCGTTCTTTCATTTGCTTGAAGTGTGTGTCCTATTCCCTTTGGCCCCTTTACACATCCTGCTTCCTGTTCCTGAATATTCTGCCCCCTGCCCCATCCTTTCAGCAATGTGAATCCTTCTCTCCCTTCAGATCTCAGCTCAGGTGTTACTCAGGGGAAGCCTTCCCTGACCCTCCGGTTAGAACACATGTTCCTTCCCTTCCCTTGGGTTGTACACATAGAGGAGACCTTGTGACTAACATCAGCTCCACAGGAGCAGAGGCCAGGTCTGTTTTTGTTCACTGAAGCAGCCCTAGTACTTGGCACAGAGTAGAAACTCTGTAAATATTCGTTGAATATTTGAATGAAGAAAGAAAGGAAGGAACAAGAATTAATAGAAACAAGTTTAAATGGGGTGTTCTATAAAAGTGTGCATGGGAACAGAAGTGGGGAGGAGAACAGAAGCATATTAAACATAGAAAACACTGCAGGAGTATTTAGCCTAAACTTCTTCTAGATGACAGGCACAAAGTTTAGTTTGTTTACTAAAATATTGAAATAAGGGAGTAGAGCAGGTAATACTCTTTTGAATCTGTTACTGCTAAGATAAATGTCTAATAATTTTTCAAATTCTATTTTTTAAATTTCTGTGCGACTATAGTTTAACTTAGAGTAAAACAAACCAGTCCTTGGGTTAGCAAATGAATCAGTTTTACAGCTCTTTAAACTACGACTTGGACCACAGCCCCTTGAATGAATATATATATATATATATATATATGAATCAAACGGTTAATTTTGTTTGTATTCAGCTTTCTAATGTATATTTCATAGTCTTTCAAACATTATTAGTAAAACAATGCACCTAATGACATAAAGTTAAAAGAACCACCTACTCTGAAAATTCTCTGCCCAAAATACACTCTTTAACACTTTAAGTAAGAAATCCCACACATAAGGCAATATGCCTCAGGAGCAATCAGCACAAGTAACGTAACCTGCACCATCTTCGTTCTGTACAAACAATGCTAACACCAACAGACTAACAGGCAGTTGCCCTCAGACTTCAGTTCCCTAAGAAAACCTCAGCAATCCACTCACTTAAGTGCCTGTGCCGGGGTCGAATGGCACAGGCAGGCCAATCAGACACCGTCAGCAGGTGCTACTGACTTTCTCTCCCCTCATCTCTCTGAACGCGATCTACAAATTCACAGATCAAAATCAATACTGGCATTTTCTCCCATGGTTTTATAAGGATCATCAGTACCCGTATGCTGTTAGGCCTGGTGTGACGGAAAGAAAGAGTCCCAGCACCTGAACCAAAGGGTCTGCCAATCTCCCGCTGTCTTGGCCAGATCTTACAGAAGCATCTTTACGAATCTTCTCTCTCCAATCAGCTATGGCATGTTTCGTCCTGCTGGGCCTCTAAAAACCTTCATGGGGCCGTCATTTACCTCTGGAATAAGACTGAGTGTAGACTGTCCTGGGGTCTGGGTACAACACAGCCAAGCTTCCCTCACCACAGTCTAGGTCACCCCACAGCGACTCACACATCCACACATCCTTGAAAGACCTCAAACTCCCTCATGATTTGAAGACTTTTTTTTTTCTTTTTTTGGCCAAAGCTGTTCTCTCTTGGAATATTCCCTTATTCTACCCTCCGACTACCCAATCTCTCTTATTTTTCAAAGTACAGTTTTTATCCTACACTTCTCCCAAACAGATGATTAAAAGAAAATCTCTTTCAGAGACTTTTACGACTTGTCTGGCCATTTCTACGTTTAAAAAATATCTATTTCCTCATGTTTATTTTATTTATATATCTCTCACTGCCTTAGTAAACTCCACGACGCAGGAGCAAGTGGCTTTTACTTCTTTGCACCTCACCAAGGCCAATTACAGTACTGAATGTGTGTGCAGCAAACATTCAGTGGGTAGGGAGAAAGCAACGCTGGGAAGAGAGTTCTGCACAACCGAAGAGCACTTCCTGTGGGGTTCCTCAGTCATCAGTTTATCAGGATGAACCCAGTGGTCCAGGAATCAGGGCTGAGCAATTCCGTAACAATGGAAGGAAACATATCCTTGCTCTGAGAACAGAAGGAAAAAAAAAGAAGAAATCTAAACTTACGTGGGACCCAGGGGTCAGCAGCACAGCAGTCACGTCATTTTCTTTTGGGTTTCCAGCATGGAGAAGGTCTGAGTCCTCAAAAAGTGATCCTAAAAGTGGAGACAGGAGCCATGACGATTACTCTTTCCTTGCAATAAACTAGCAGGAAGTGCCACACACCAGCTAGTTGTCATCTAAGAAGAGTCAACACTGGGAACCAAAGGACAATCGCATAATATCCTTTAATCAAGACAGCCTTGACCATTGCTGCCTCAGGCTCCTCCTGCTCTCCTCTGCCCTTAAACTCCAGTAGAATGAGCATCTAGACATATAAATTAAACGTATTTTTATCTTGCATGTGCTAAGTAGTCAAAATAATACTCCAGGTCTTTGTATGTCCATGCCTCAGTGATTCACCTCTGTTGAATTTCAGGCTCACAGGATGAACGAAGACGAGTTAAATTCTTTTTGAACATTGGCTTTTCAGATATTGATACAATACCGACTGACTCAAAAAAGCGATGGGTCTTACGGAAGAACCACCACCACCAGCAAAAACAAACCAAGATTGTAAACAAACTCCATGACTTCTCAAATCCCCGCCTTCCCTTCCTTCCAAAAGGGTCAGATAGTTCCTTCCTACTGCCTTATGGAGCTCCTCTAACATCAAAAAAGAAGTCATTATCAGAAGCCAAACTTCAGATGTGTTGGTATCTTCCCTTGGGCAAGGGAGGCGTCCAGCGCCTACAGACCAGGAGGGCAATGGAAGTGGCGGGCTGTCCCTCAAAACCCCACGTGAGAGCGGCCAGCGGGAAGGGGCTCGTGACGCCACTCCTTCCTGAGCCTGCCCCACGCTTTCTCCCTTTCTCCCTCTCCAGCGGGCACCAAGGCCGCCTCACTCCCAAATCCTCACCTCTGCCCCCAGGTTCCATGGAGACTCCTTCCTCCAGCCCGCGCTGGAGGCAACCGCCGCGAGGGAAGGGGCCGGGGGTCCGCCGCTCGGGTCCCCCAAAAGGCCCGGAACGCAGGCGCTGGCGGCCCGGCGCCCCCACCCGGGGGTCCTCCCGCCACCCTCCTCCCGGGCACTCAGACTGAAAAGGGATGCGCTCAGCCCTCCTCCACCCTGGGTTCAACCTCCAGCCACACTGGCAAGCCGAGCCCGACTACAAAGGCATCTAACCGCCGGCTGCGACGCCTAGCGCCTGCCAACCGTGAGGCCGGACTACCACTCCCAGAATCCTCCGCGGGGCGCGGCTGGCGGCCGTCACGCCCAACGTCGCTTCCCAGAGGGCCCCGCGGCCTCCTGCGCCCCGGGCTGCGTTTCTTGGCGCCGCGCGCGCCTGACCGGCCTGGAGGAGCGCTGGGCAGCTGGCGAATCCCTGCCCGTGGCTGTCGAAGGGCCGCTCCTCCCTCAGTGCCGACTGTGGGCGGCGGACGCGCCAAACCCCGCCTGGCGTGGGACTTTCGCGTCCCCACTACGGTGACGGCGGAAGGCGCGCCCCTGCCCCACGTGGGATCCTTCCCGGGCTGCCGTGCTCCCTCGGAGGGGGGGCGCCCGGCGGCGTCCCTGCTGCTGCGGCTCCATGCATCGGCCCTTCGCGGCCGGCACAGAGGGGATCTCAGTTTAAAGTAAGCAGGGATGTTTGTTCCATATTGCACCTCGGAATAAAGAAAAATGGAATTTCAATCCCGAAATCACCTCAACCCCAACAACAGCCACGTCTCCAAGAAGAACCAGTAAACTAGTGCTGCTGCCCCAAGGAGGCTGGAGCCTGGAGGTCCTGCAGACTCCCCAGGAGCTCTAGGGGTGGGCGGGTCTTCAGGCTAGGGCGTGTTTTCACTTACCTTCCCACGTTAAAGTGCCAGCTTTCTGTCCAGTTCCGGTTCCCAAGAGAAAATCTAATTAGCTATGTCCTTGTTTGGATACAAGCCTCAATGTCCAATTGACCTTTCTCCAACAGAATCTCCAATTTTTAGATAGGCTCAAGGCTTCCCAAGGCTTATCATTATTCCTGCCCTTGCCCTCCCCAGCAGCCCCTTGCTGCCTGGAACTAGTGAATCATCATGGGCCCTGTGAACTAGTTTGCACCCTAGGGATGGTAAACCAACAAGGTAGAAGGAACGGAGCCCCGAGTAATTTGTTGGAACAGAGCTTGGGCTTTGGCATGAGAGAGATGCAGACTTCTATTTTGTATAAGCCACTATTATTTTGGGTTTCTTCTGCAGAGATAACCACACGTATCTCTAACTGGTCCATAGATTGGCTATATTTGGTACAGGCAGCTAGGGCTGGTGGGGATAAAGGACATGTGGTAGAGACACAGCCGTGCCAGCTCAAATGGCAGCCAAAGGGAGTCTCCCCACCCTTCCCTCTACAGGAGATACGGGATGGGCAGTTTCCTTCAGAAGATGCTTCGTATGAAAGACACCACTCGCTGATGTTGTTACGGAAACCCCAGGGATAAGGTCTAGGCCCTGCAGCTTGTGCACAAAAAAGCCAATCACTGAGAGGAGTATTGCCAAGGAAGAAGGCTTTAGTCAGGTGCTGCAGCCAAGGAGATGGGAGACCAGCTGCAAATCCATCTCCCTGACCTACGAAAACCAGGGGTCTATATAGCAGGGAAGAAATGTAACCGTGTGGGAGGAACAGGAATGAGGGAGACATAAGGAAGCAATCATGATGATGAGGGGTCTGGTGTATCCTTGTCTGGATGCCGTCATCTGGTGTGTTTCAGTTCTTTGATACTTTTTTTTTTTTCCATCAAATGCTCTCTCAGAATCACCTTTTGATACTTTTTTGAGAGGCCTGAGGATCTTTCCTGAGGAAGGAACTGTAATAAAACAGTATAAGCTTCAAACTTGAAGACCAGAGAGTCTGCCGGGCTAGGTGGCTCATGTCTATAATCCCAGCACTTTGGGAGGCCGAGGCGGGTGGATCACTTGAGGTCAGGAGTTCAAGACCAGCCTGGCCAACATGGTGAAACCCTGTCTTTACTAAAAATAGAAAAATTAGCCAGGCCTGGTGGCGCACACCTGTAATCCCAGCTACTCAGGAGGCTGAGGCAGGAGAATCGCTTGAACCCAGGAGGCGGAGGTTGCCATAAGCTGAGATCATGCCAGTGCACGCCAACCTGGGCAACAGAGCGAGACTCCATCTCAAAAGAAAAAAAAAAATCACTTTCTATGTTTATCCAAAATAAAGTCTATGGGACTACTGGGCTGGTTTCAATGTGTCTGGAGCACCCCTTTCTTCTTGTTGCTAACCATCCCCATCACAGATATCCCTTCTTTGTTACCATGTCAATTGTCAGTCCTCATCTCACTTTATTAATAGGTGATAACACTTGGCTGCTCCCTGCTCCTGGAAATACTTTCTGGTTTTCTTCCTCCTTGACTGGTCACTTCTTCTCAATCTCATTAGGTATTTCCTCTTCTCCCCAGCTCTAAACCAGTGTTTTCCAAACAACAGTCATGCGTCGCTTAACAACCAGGATACCCTCGGAGAAATGAATTTTTAGGTGATTTTGTTCTTGCGTGAACACCATAGAATGTATGTATGAAAATCTAGACTGTATCACCTACTGCACACCCAGGCTATATGGCATAGCCTATTGCTCCAAAGCTATTAACATGTACAGCAGGTTATGTGGTGAATACTGTAGGTCATTGTAACACAATGGTATTTGTGTATCTAACATAACATAGGATACAACATGTCCTGTGCACCTGTACAGGGCACTTACCATGACTGGAGCTTGCAAGACTGGAAGTTACTCTGTTACCAAAACACTGTCATCTCCTAGGATAGCAATGCCTGCTTCCAGGATAACTCCTGAGGGACCTCTCTGAGGCTGTTTTACAGTTAACGTTTTTTCTTGTAGGTCTAGGTCCTGCCACTCACAGCTTAGGAAGCCAATGACTGAGACCATGATCTCACTGCACAGGAAGCCAATGACTGAGATGATTGTTGGGTGATGCAGCCTGGAAGATGGGAGGTCAGTATCAAATCCATCTCCTTGACCCACTGAAGTTAGGAGTTTATATAGCAGGGAAGAAATGTAACAATGTGTGGGAAAAAAGGAACTCAGGAGAGGTAGGATGGCAATCATGATACATGAGAGGCCTGGTGTCTCACTGTCTGAGTGTAGTGATCTGGTGAGTTTCCCTTCTTTGATACTTTTTTTTTTTTTGAGACGAGGTTTCTCTCTTGTTGCCCAGGCTGGAGTGCAGTGGCACGATCTTGGCTCACTGCAACCTCCACCTCCCCAGGTTCAAGCGATTCTCCTGCCTCAGCCTCCTGAGTAACTGGGATTACAGGCGTCTGCCACCACGCCCGGCTAATTTTTTGTATTTTTAGTAGAGATGGGGTTTCATCATGTTGATCAGGCTGGTCTTGAACTCCTGACCTCACGTGATCCACTCATCTCGGCCTCCTAAAGTGCAGGGATTAGAGGCGTGAGCCACCATGCCCAGCCCATTATTTGATACTTTTGAGAGGCCTGGAGTTCTTTCCTGAGGAAGGAACTCAGACAAAACAAATTTAAGTTTCAAGCTTTAAGACTAGAAGGGACACATTCTATGTTTATCAAAAAACAAAAAAACAAAAAAAAACCCAAAAAAAACTTGTCTATGGGACTATTGGGTGGGTTTCAGCTCTAGGTGTGTCATTGAATGGTGAGTGAATGTGAAGGCCTATGACATTACTATACACTACTGTAGACTTTATAACTGTTGCACACTTAGGCTACATTAAATTTATAAAAAGAATTGCCCTTCAAGAAGTTACCTTTTCTGGCCAGGTGTGGTGGCGGGCAGATCACCTATCAGGAGTTCGCATCCAGCCTGGCCAACATGGCGAAACCCCGTCTCTACTAAAAATACAAAAATTAGCCGGGCGTGGTGGCACATGCCTGTAATCCCAGTTACTTCCGAGGCTGTGAGACAGGAGAATCTCTTGAACCCAGGAGGCAAAGGTTGCAGTGAGCCGAGATCGCACCACTGCACTGCAGCCTGGGCGACAGAGCAACGCTCCATCTAAAAAAAAAAAAAAAAAAAAGAGAGAAGAAGAAGAAGAAAAGAAAAGAAAAAGCTAAGAACTAAGGCACAAACACACACATTAGCCTAGGCCTATGCAAGGTCAGGGTCTTCAATCTCACTGTCTTCCACCTTCATCTCCTGTCCCAGTGGAAGGTCTTCAAGGGCAGTAACAGGCATGGAGCTGTCATCTCCTGGGATAGCAATGCCTGCTTCTGGGATACCTCCTGAAGGACCTCTCTGAGGCTGTTTTACAGTTAACTTTTTTCTTATAAATAGGAGTATACTGAGTATACTCTAAAATAATGATTAAAGGTATAGTATAGTAAGTACTTAAACCAGTAACATAGTCGTTTATTATCATTAGCAAGTATTGTATACTGTAGATAATTGTATTGCTGTGCTTTTGTACAACTGACAGTGCAGTAGGCTTGTTTATACCAGCATCGTCACAAGCACAAGTAATGTATTGTGCTAATGGCTACAATGTTACTAGGCAATAGGAATTTTTCAGCTTCATTATAATTGTTTGGAACCACCATCATATATGTGGTCTGCCATTGACTGAAATGCTGTTTTGTGGCACACAATTATATGGTAATCAGAATCATCTGAAAGTCTTGTTAAAACACAGTGCTGAACTCCACCCCCATTCAGGTGGTCTGAGGTGGTTCCTGAGAATTTGTGTTTCCACCAACTTCCCAGATGATGCTAAAGCTGCTCATCTGAGAATCAACCAAATGTTGAAATGCCCCAGAGCTCAGGCCTTGGGCCTCTCTTCTGTCAACACTAGGATAGCAGTAACTACTCTTAGACGATCTTCTTCCACCCACATGCTCTAAATACCACCCAAATGTGGTCAGCTTCCAGTTTATATCTGCAGCCTGGGCTTTTCCAAACCCTGACCTTGAGCTGTCTCCTCCACCTCTGGATTTGATGTTTCATAAACATCTTTAATGTAGCATGTTCGAAAGTGAACCTGTGCTGTTCCCCCTTCTCCACTGCCAAACCTCTTCCCCCTGCAGTTTCCCCACCTCAGTAAATGGCAACTTGATCCTTTGGTTGCTCAATTCAGATACCTTGGAGTCACCATTTTCTTTATCTCACACTGCACATCCAGTTCCTCAGAAAATTCTATTGGCTCTACTCTTTTTTTTTGAGACAGAGTCTCGTTCTGTCACCTAGGCTAGAGTGCAGTGGCGCAATCTTGGCTCACTGCAACCTCTGCCTCCTGAGTTCAAGTGATTCTCCTGCCTCAGTCTCCCGAGTAGCTGGGACTACAGGCACCGCTACACGCCCAGCTACACGCCCAGCTCAGCCTGCATAATCCTTCCCCCACATGGCCGCCAGGCTTGCTCTCTCACCAGCGCCAAGCCTCTGTTCACCATCTCTGTGAAGCCTTTTTGTCCTTCGTTACTTTATTGCTTTTCCATAGCACCTATCTCTTTCTGATATTATAATTATTAATTTTATTTGTTGAGTGTCCCCCCATGCACATGCACCAGGGATCAGGCTCCCCGGGGAAGGAGCATCCCCAGAATATTGCCTGGTACTGACATGGTCAGTAACTGAAGGACAGTGTACTCTTCTCTGTATGATGCAGAGAAGGTAAAAGTACCTGAAAGTAATGTGGTTCTCATTGCTTTTCTTGGCTTTAATTTGTGCCCTTCTGGAAAATTCGAACTTTCTTCACACATAGACACGGGCACTACTTTGGAATAATGTGGCCTTGAACAGCAGTGGCGCCGCCTCCCACTGCAGCACATAAATAGGTGTCACACAGCAGCAGGATGGAATTGGAACACCTTGTAATAAAAACCTGTGAGTCCCCATTGTCTCTTACAGGTAGATTAACCCTGAGTTTCCAAAACTTATGAGAACATCTATTTCCTTCTAATAGGTCTGACATCCTGTCAGGAAAGCATCCTTGCCTGTCTTAAGCAGCAGTAGTGCCATAAAAGGCCATTTACTTTGATGTGAAAGCTGATGTTAAGAGAAATGAATACGGAATCTGTTCATCACCATGGAAGAGGGCAAAGCCAAAAATGTGAAGGAAGGATTTGGGTGGCAAACGGGTGAAGATTTGGGGTACATGAGATTCAACATGAGAGAGAGAGGTGCCAAAGGCCTCAGATAGTGTGAGAGGCAGGCAGACCTGAGGCAGGAAGTCAGGCTTGGAGTGAAGGAGCAGAGGGAGTTCATCGGGCCTGTGTCTTGTGCCTCGTCACATCCCTTAGGCGTCTGCAGAGGCCCTCGGCCATTTGTTCCACTTCAGCTGCCAGGGCCTGTCGATCCACTCAGCTCTTCCGTTTGCACCACCCGCAGCTGGACGGTTACCTGCCTGGGAGTGCCAGGCTCTCCTCCTGCCAGCCGAAGGCCAAAGAGCTGCACACTCAGGTTTTGGACCCCTCACACCACTTCCGGCCTTGTTGAAGGGCCATACAGTGGGTTGTGGGGTTTGGCTTCCCTAGGAGTGGCTGGGTGATGCCACCTGAAGTGTGGGGGCATCCAAGAGATGGAGGGAGCTGATCAGATTAATTCCTTCGGCTTCCCTGTACCCATTATTGCTCCGGGGCACAGTCGCTGCACATACGCTGGAATGTGGGCTTCTTACAGAGCCAAGTAGATGCACATGCTGAATAATCTCTCTCCCAGCTGGTGAAGTAAAAGTCGACAGGCAAACATCATCTTGCATTTCTTCCCATCCTTTCCTGCTTCACTCCCTTTTCCTCACTCATGTCGCCCTAGGTTTGCACCTCATAAAGCACCAGCTCTTAATCCTTGCCTCGAGCTCTATTTCCTAGGGAATTTGGGCTAAGACTAGGAGCATGACTGCCTGTGACCCCGGTCCCTCTAATGGCAGCATTGTCACAAGGGAGAACTGTGGGCCAGGAGCAGTGACTCATGGTGGAGCAGGAGCAGTGGCTAGGATCAAGTGATGAAGGCAGAGCCACAGGCCTGGATCAAGCGAGGAGGAGCCTGGAGACAAGCCCCTGGGGGAGAATGACAGAGGGGCTCTGGTCCTAGCACCAGGAACTTCAAGGAAGCAAATCCCTTACTCCTTTACCGTCTTAGAGTTGCTCAAGGAGCCTTAGTGTCGTGGCCAGAGCCTTAAAGAACTCTAGTATAGCAGGAATTTACTTGTGAAATTTCTGGCCATCTCTGACTGATGAACTCACGTTGGTGGTAGAGGAGCTGTTACAAACAGCAGTCCAGAAAAGAGTCACGGAATGAGGCCAAGACAGCTGCTGACATCACAAGCAATAACCAGATGGACTTCTGGAACCTGATAAATGCTGCTCTGGCATTTTATCTGGTATTTGAAAGGAGCAACCATGAAGACTGAAGCATGCAAAAATATCTGGGACATGGAGGTCTATAAGGGCAGTTTCTGTCAAGCCAGGTGGTACAGTGGTCCACACCCACTTTGCCCAGACACAGGACATTCAGGGTTGGTTTTAGCCTGTCTTTGGTTTGCTGATATCTGCTTGGCTTGTTCCCCCACAATAGCTAAACGAGTATTATGGATTCTTTGAAACTCATAAAGTCATAATCAATAGAGGGGGTCTTATTTCCATCCATGCTTCCATCAGATAGACTTACTGATATGGTTTTCAAGGGAGTTATAGAAAACTCCCATTTCCTAGCAGGGTAGCTGTTGGGGGTTATTAGGAATGAAATAGCAGGAATGGGCACCCATGTTGTGAGGAAAACAAATAGACCTTTAGATGAGAAACACCTTCCAGCCTATATCCTGTCATTCTCTTGCACCAAGAGGATGCTTGGGATGTCCCTTTCACCACCTCCACACAACAGAATGAGATAAGTAGCAGACCTGGAGGGCCATCAGGCATCTCCACAGGCAGGTGTAATAATAGTCAAGAACTCCTATCGAAGTGACTCTTGGCAGCCAGTTAGCCACAGCCAGGTGTAATAATAGTCAAGAACTCCATACTGAAGTGACTCTTGGCAACCAGTTAGCCAACTGTGAACAGTGTGGTTGTATATTTTGTTTATAATTCATTCTGCCTGTACTTTGAAAAGATAGTTTTATATGGATGAATGGATTTATTTTTAGTAAGAGTGGCAGAGAAGTTGGCCTGAAGAGAACCAGCCAAAGGATGTTTGAAAGATGCTGGGATTGAACTGTCAGATACTTATGAGGGATTTGCAAAGATTGATGCTGGACTGTGGGGACAGGGAAGGTCCACACCTCCTCCGTGACTATTATTCTGCCCTTGTGAGCTACAATCCTGGAGGCGTCAGTGCTCTGGAGCTGACCATAAAGCTTTTGAGGTCAGGCCAGCCACATAGTGAGGTACTGCTCACCTCCCTTCTGGTCCCAATATGAGGATGGAAGAGTTAGCTGTTTTTCTATGGAATCTATGTATTGTTTTGGAAAGTTTGACAGGAACTTCCTTTGGTTGTAAGTACAATGGTTAATTACATCGGGTTTTATTCTCTCACATTCAAGTCCAGAAGTAGGCAGTCCAGGGCTGAGATGAAGGCTCTGTAAGATTATCTGCAAATCAGGCATCTTCTGTTTTTCTCCTCTGCCATCCTTAAGGCATGGCTTACGTCCTCAAAGTCACAAGGTGGCTATTGGGGTTCCAGCCATTAAATCCACATTCCAGGTAGAAAGAAGGAAAAGGCAAGGCCAAAAGGGAGTTTCCTAGCTGTTACTCTTTCTTTTAAGTACCCGACCAGAAGTCCTATCAAAAAAATTTGATTTTTGTCAGCATAGCATTCACCTGATATTTGATTTATCAATATTTCATTGGCCTGATTAGCTATACCTAGCTGCAAAAGAAGCCAAGAAATATAGTTGGGTGCTCTGCTGCTCAGAATAGAACCAGAGTTCCTATCATTAAGGAGGTGAAGAATGACTTCTGGCGAGACACGAACAGCTTCTGCCGCAGTAAGCATTACTCAGTGCTCTTTGTCAACACTTTAGCTCTTGCCAGCTACTTTATCATGAGAATCTATAGGGTGGCTGGAAACCCTGAACCTCTGATCTTAGAGTAGATGGCCTTTTGCATCTTCTGCAGACTCTGCACAGGTTTTGTACACAAGTATGATGGGGAGGAATCCACATCTTTATGTGGCACCTCTGGCGTGTTCAACAGGCTGGATACCACACCAGGGGCCAGATATTTGCTCATCATGAGGACTGATTTTCTTGAGGCCTCTGCTACTGGGGTTTACCATCACTCTATTTATCCTGCCTGAAGTTCCACATTCATGCTCATTTACAGGATGAAAGAAGGGAGGGCCATGCTAATTCTCTATCCTTCATCCATAGGAGTGCCAATATGGGACAAGAAATTAAAATAATTATGCTTTTTAATGCCTGGATAGCAAGAGCCTATCCTCTTCCTCATCCTGGTGCTCACACACTCTCAGAAGCTGTCTGAAATTACTGCTTTACTCCTAAGCAGGATTTCTTAAAGCCCTAGATGTGAGGAAGCTGATCTAAGTCTCTCTTGTGTAGGTGTGGACAGGACAGTCTGTGTCTTGGCTTCATGGTGCTGATGTTGAGGGCAGGAAGGACACCATGTCTCATAGGCCTGGCCTTCAGTCACATCCTCATGTCTGTTGCTTTGGTACTGAGGGATGACCATTTGTGGACAAGCAGTGTCTGGAGTTAACTTTCACTTTGTGGTATCCTTTGAGATTAGACACAGCCCCATTTCCTGTAGCCGTTTTCACGGTGGCTAACCTCTTCAGCCTGGGACCCCACCTAGCTGCCACAGCTGTGCCTGGATGCTGCACAGGACTCCGAACTTTTTGGGATGAACATGTTTCCCTTCCACAGCTACAAGTGAATATATGGTGAGAAAGGGAAAGGTCTGGCGCGGTGGCTCATGCCTATAATCCCAACACTTTGGGAGGCCGAGGCAGGCGGATCATGAGTTCAAGAGATCGAGACCATCCTGGCCAACATGGTGAAACCCTGCCTCTACTAAAAATACAAAAATTAGCTGGGTGTGGTGGCATGCACCTGTAGTCCCAGCTACTCAGGAGGCTGAGGCAGGAGAGTCACTTGAACCTGGGAGGCGGAGGTTGCAGTGAGCTGAGATGGCGCCATTGCACTCCATCCTGGGCGACAGAGCAAGAATCCATCTCAAGAAAAAAAAAAGAGAGAGAGAGAGAGAAAGGGAAGGGGCTATATCCAGGGTGCTGTGGAATGGCAGAGCCAGACTAAGGAAGCTTGGTTATCAATAAACAAAGATGAAACAACCACCACCACTGTAGAAACAAGGATAGTTGGGTGATGGATTTGTCTTACAAAACCCAGAGGTCAGGTCTGGGGCCAGAAGATCACAAGTAAAGGAAACACAGGGTCCTGAGCCGAGTGAAGAACAGGAGCACATAACCAGAATCAGAGCTCCAGGAAGAGACAAGAGGAGCAGATGAAGAGCTCACAGCACAGCTATAGTGAAGGCATTGGCAGCCCTAAGTACATAGAAGCTTGATGTTTCTTATGTTTTTTTTTTTTTTTTTTTTTTTTTTGTGAGACGGAGTCTCACTCTGTCGCCCAGGCTGGAGTGCAGTGGCGCGATCTTGGCTCACTGCAAGCTCCACCTCCCGGGTTCATGCCATTCTCCTGCTTCAGCCTCCGAGTAGCTGGGACTACAGGCACCCACCACTGTGCCTGTAGAGACGGGGTTTCACCGTGTTAGCCAGGATAGTCTCGATCTCCTGACCTCATGATCTGCCCGCTTCGGCCTTCCAAAGTGCTAGGATTACAAGCATGAGCCACTGTGCCCCGCCCATTCTTTCTATCTTTTTTTGTACCCATTAACCATCCCCACCTCCCTCCTACCCCCCACTACTCTTTGCAGCCTCTGGTAACCATCCTTCTACTCTCTATGTCCATAAGTTCAGTTGTTTTTTAGATCCTACAAATAAGTGAGACAGGTGATGTTTGTCTTTCTGTGCCTGACGTATTTCACTTAGCATAATAACCTCCAGCTCTATCCATGTTGTTGCAAATGACAGGATCTCATTATTTTTTATGGCTGAATAGTACTCCATTGTGTATAAGCACCAAATTTTCTTTGATGTTTATTTTCTTACTAAAGTTTCTAGTTGTATAAGTGCATTTGATTTTTGGCTCAAGTACTCAGGTATTCATTCGTTTAGAGAATACATGATGAGGCCAGGCACAGTGGTTCATGCCTATCATCCCAGCACTTTGGGAGGCTGAGCCGGGTGGATTACGAGATCAGGAGTTCGAGACCAGCCTGGCCAATATGGTGAAACCTCATCTCTACTAAAAATAGAAAAGTTAACCGGGTATGGTGGCGGGTGCCTGTAGCCCCAGCTACTCAGGAGGCTGAGGCAGGAGAATCGCTTGAACCCGGGAGGCAGAGGTTGCAGTGAGTTGAGATTGCACCGCTGCACTCCAGCCTGGGTGACAGAGTGAGACTCCATCTCAAAAAAAAAAAAAGAAAGAAAGAAAATATATGATGAGTGCCAGGCACCACACTGGGAACACAGCAATACACAGATATGAAGGAGCTCTTGTTCTCCTGCAGCATTCAGCCTTGCGATAAATAAATAAATAATATGTCTGTTGCCTATCTTAGGGTCTCCTTCAAACACCTGCAAAGCATATTGATTGGAGAGCTTCTGACCAATTTGGGGATCCTCCAGGCATCATCTCAAATTTGAGGTATCCCAACGAAGCGTATGGCATGGTTAATTGAGACTATTTATGAAGACTGTGGTCCCAAATGGAGGTATGAGGATAAGCAGTTGATAGAAGGTGCTCAAACAGAAATCACCATTACCTTGAACAAACACATGCTGAGTCTCTTTGGGGACTGCTTGTCTGGCTGAAGCACCTCCACGGTACCTGGAAGCCTGATTTTCATAAGCATCACTGATGTTGGGTCATAGAGGATTTGCGACTGAAGACTTTTCCACAGGTGCTGCACTCGTGGAGCTTCTCTCCAGGGTGCACTCTCTGATGGTGAGTGAGCCACCTTTTCTGCAGGAAAGTTTTCCTACATGCAATGCACTCATGGGGCTTGTCTCCATTATGAATTTTCTGATGCTGATTATGGGATGAGCCGTCAAAGAAAACCTTCCCACACTCATTATCTTCGGAATGCGTCTCTACAGTGTGCACTGTCCTGTGTCGAATGAGGGATGACTGGTCCAACAGAGCTCTGCCCTGCCCCTGCATTCCTAGGGCCACTCTCCAGGGCGGGTTAGCTGTGGCCGGAATAGCTTTCCCGCTGAAGGGCTCTCCACACGCTGTGCGTTCATAAGGACTTTCTCCAGGATGAGTTCACCGATGTCCAGTAAGGGTTAATCAGTTGTAGAAAGTTTTCATTGCATTCAAAGGGGCTCTTCCCAGGGTGTGACAGCAGTGTTTCTTTTTTCATTTTTAATTAATGTTATAGAGACAAGGTCTCACTGTGTTGCCCAAGCTAGTCTCAAACTCCTAGGCACAAGTGATCCTCCCAAAGTGCTGGGATTACAGGCATGAACCACCACGCCGGCTGACATCAGGTTTTTCTTAAGGCTCCTACAGCTGAAGCCTTTTCTGCTTTCTTTTTTGTTTTTTCTTTTTTATTATACTTTAAGTTCTAGGGTACATGTGCACAAAGTGCAGGTTTGTTACATGTGTATCCATGTGCCATGTTGCTGTGCTGCACCCATTAACCCGTCATTTATAGTAGCTATATCTCCTAATGCTATCCCTCCCCCTCCCCCAATCCTGCGACAGGCCCTGGTGTGTGATGTTCCCCTTCCTGTGTCCAAGTGTTCTCATTGTTCAATTCTCACCTATGAGTGAGAACATGCGGTGTTTGGTTTTCTGTTTTTGCAATAGTTTGCTCAGAATGATGGTTTCCAGCTGCATCCATGTCCCTACAAAGGACATGAACTCATCCTTTTTTTATGCCTACATAGTATTCCATGGTGTATATGTGCCACATTTTCTTAATCCAGTCTGTTATTGATGGACATTTGGGTTGGTTCCAAGTCTTTGCTATTGTGAATAGTGCTGCAATAAACATACGTGTGCATGTGTCTTTATAGCAGCATGATATATAATCCTTTGGGTATACACCCAGTAATGGGATGGCTGGGTCATATGGTACTTCTAGTTCTAGATCCTTGAGGAATCGCCACACTGTATTCCACAATGGTTGAACTAGTTTACAGTCCCACCAACAGTGTAAAAGTGTTCCTATTTCTCCACATCCTCTCCAGCCCCTGTTGTTTCCTGACTTCTTAATGATTGCCATTCTAACTGGTGTGAGATGGTATCTCATTGTGGTTTTGATTTGCATTTCTCTGATGGCAAGTGATGATGAGCATTTTTTCATGTGTCTGTTGGCTATACGAATGTCTTCTTTTGAGAACTGTCTGTTCATATGCTTTGCCCACTTTTTGAAGGGGTTGTTTGTTTTTTTCTTGTAAATTTGTTTGAGTTCTTTGTAGGTTCTGGATATTAGCCCTTTGTCAGAGGAGTAGATTGCAAAAATTTTCTCCCATTCTGTAGGTTGCCTGTTCACTCTGATGGTAGTTTCTTTTGCTGTGCAGAAGCTCTTTAATTAGATCCCATTTGTCAATTTTGGCTTTTGTTGTCATTGCTTTTGGTGTTTTAGACATGAGGTCCTTGCCCATGCCTATGTCCTGAATGGTATTACCTAGGTTTTCTTCTAGGGTTTTTATGGGGTTTTCTAAATATACAATCATGTCATCTGCAAACAGGGACAATTTGACTTCCTCTTTTCCTAATTGAATACCCTTTATTTCTTTCTCATGGCTGATTTCCGTGGCCAGAACTTCCAACACTATGTTGAATAGGAGTGGTGAGAGAGGGCATCCCTGTCTTGTGCCAGTTTTCAAGGGGAATGCTTCCAGTTTTTGCCCATTCAGTATGATATTGGCTGTCGGTTTGTCATAAATAGCTCTTCTTATTTTGAGATATGTTCCATCAATACTGAATTTATTGAGAGTTTTTAGCATGAAGGGCTGTTGAATTTTGTCAAAGGCCTTTTCTGCATCTGTTGAGATCATCATGTGGTTTTTGTCTTTGGTTCTGTTTATATGCTGGATTACGTTTATTGATTTACATATGTTGAACCAGCCTTGCATCCCAGGGATGAAGCCCACTTGATCATGGTGGAGAAGCTTTTTGATGTGCTTCTGGATTCGGTTTGCCAGTATTTTATTGAGGATTTTTGCATCGATGTTCATCAGGGATATTGGTCTAAAATTCTCTTTTTTTGTTGTGTCTCTGCCAGGCTTTGGTATCAGGATGATGTTGACCTCATAAAATGAGTTAGGGTGGATTCTCTCTTTTTCTGTTGATTGGAATAATTTCAGAAAGAATGGTACAAGCTCCTCCTTGTACCTCTGGCAGAATTCGGCTGTGAATCCATCTGGTCCTGTACTTTTTTTGGTTGGTAGGGTATTAATTATTACCTCAATTTCAGAGACTGCTATTGGTCTATTCAGGGATTCAACTTCTTCGTGGTTTAGTCTTGGGAGAGTGTACGTGTCCAGGAATTTATCCATTTCTTCTAGGTTTTCTGGTTTATTTGCATAGAGATGTTTATAGTATTCTCTGATGGTAGTTTGTATTTCTGTGGGGTCGGTGGTGATATCCCCTTTATCATTTTTTATTGTGTCTGTTTGATTCTTCTCTCTTTTCTTCTTTATTAGTCTTGCTAGCAGTCTATCAGTTTTGTTGATCTTTTCAAATAACCAGCTCCAGGATTCATTGATTTTTTGAAGGGTTTTTTTGTGTCTCTATCTCCTTCAGTTCTGCTCTGATCTTAGTTATTTCTTGCCTTCTGCTAGTTTTTTAATGTGTTTGCTCTTGCTTCTCTAGTTCTTTTAATTGTGATGTTAGGGTGTCAATTTTAGATCTTTCCAGCTTTCTCTTGTAGGCATTTAGTGCTATAAATTTCTGTCTACACACTGCTTTAAATATGTCCCAGAGATTCTGGTACGTTGTGTCTTTGTTCTCATTGGTTTCAAAGAACATCTTTATTTCTCCCTTCATTTCGTTATTTACCCAGTAGTCATTCAGGAACAGGTTGTTCAGTTTCCATGTAGTTGAGTGATTTTGATTGAGTTTCTTAGTCCTGAGTACTAGTTTAATTGCACTGTGGTCTGAGAGACAGTTTGTTATAATTTCTGTTCTTTTACATTTGCTGAGGAGTGCTTTACTTCCAACTATTGGTCAATTTTGGAATAAGTGCAATGTGGTGCTGAGAAGAATGTATATTCTGTTGATTTGGGGTAGAGAGTTCTGTAGATGTCTATTAGGTCTGCTTGGTGCAGACCTGAGTTCAATTCCTGGATATCTTTGTTAACTTTCTGTCTTGTCGATCTGTCTAATGTTGACAGTGGGGTGTTAAAGACTCCTATTATTATTTTGTGGGAGTTTAAGTCTCTTTCTAAGTCTCTAAGGACTTGCTTTATCAATCTAGGTGCTCTGGTATTGGGTGCATATATTTTTAGGATAGTTAGCTCTTCTTGTTGAATTGATCCCTTTATCATTATGTAATGGCCTTCTTTGTTGCTTTTGATCTTTGTTGGTTTAAAGTCTGTTTTATCAGAGACTAGGATTGCAACCCCTGCCTTTTTTGTTTTCCATTTGCTTGGTAGATCTTCCTCCATCCCTTTATTTTGAGCCTATGTGTGTCTCTGCGTGTGAGATGGGTCTCCTGAATACAGCACACTGATTGGTCTTGACTCTATCCAGTTTGCCAGTCTGTGTCTTTTAATTGGAGCATTTAGCCCATTTACATTTAAGGTTAATATTGTTATGTGTGAACTTGATCCTGTCATTGGGATGTTAGCTGATTATTTTGCTTGTTAGTTGATGCAGTTTCTTCCTAGCATCGACATTTTGGCATGTTTTTGCAGTGGCTGGTACCAGTTTTTCCTTTCCATGTTTAGTGCTTCCTTCAGGAGCTCTTGTAGGGCAGGCCTGGTGGTGACAAAATCTCTCAGCATTTGCTTGTCTGTAAAGGATTTTATTTCTCCTTCACTTATGAAACTTAGTTTGGCTGGATATGAAATTCTGGGCTGAAAATTCTTTTCTTTAAGAATGTTGAATATTGGCCCCCACTCTCTTCTGGCTTGTAGAGTTTCTGCTGAGAGATCTGCTGTTAGTCTGATGGACTTCCCTTTGTGGGTAACCCAACCTTTCTCTCTGGCTGCCCTTAACATTTTTTCCTTTATTTCAACTTTGGCGAATCTGACAATTATGTGTCTTGCAGTTGCTCTTCTTGAGGAGTATCTTTGTGGCATTCTCTGTATTTCCTGAATTTGAATGTTGGCCTACCTTGCTAGGTTGGGGAAGTTCTCCTGGATAATATCCTGCAGAGTGTTTTCCAACGTGGTTCCATTCTCCCTGTCACTTTCAGGTACACCAGTCAGATGTAGATTTGGTCTTTTCACATAGTCCCATATTTCTTGGAGGATTTGTTCGTTTCTTTTTACTCTTTTTTCTCTAAACTTCTCACTTCATTTCATTCATTTGATCTTCAATCACTGATACCCTTTCTTCCAGTTGATTGAGTCGGTTACTGAAGCTTGTGCATTTGTCACGTAGTTCTCGTGTCATGGTTTTCATCTCTATCAGGTTGTTTAAGGACTTCTCTGCATTGGTTATTCTAGTTAGCCATTTGTCAAATCTTTTTTCAAGTTTTTTGTTTCTTTGTACTGGGTTCATAATTCTTCCTTTAGCTCAGAGAAGTTTGATTGTCTGAAGTCTTCTTCTCTCAACTCGTCAGAGTCATTCTCCATCCAGCTTTGTTCCATTGCTGGCAAGGATCTGTGTTCCTTTGGAGAGGGAGAGCCGCTCTGTTTTTTAGAATTTCCAGCTTTTCTGTACTGCTTTTTCCCCATCTTTGTGGTTTTATCTACCTTTCATCTTTGATGATGGTGACGTACAGATGGGGTTTTGGTGTGGATGTCCTTTCTGTTTGTTATTTTTCCTTCTAACAGTCAGGACTCTCAGCTGCAGGTCTGTTGGAGTTTTCTGGAGGTCCACTCCAGACCCACTTTGCCTGGGTATCAGCAGCGGAGGCTGCAGAAGAGTGAATATTGCTGAACAGCAAATGTTGCTGTCTGATCATTCCTTGGAAGCTTCGTCTCAGAGGTGTACCCGGCCATGTGAGGTGTGAGGTGTCAGTCTGCCCCTAGTGGGGGATGTCTCCCAGTTAGGCTACTTGGAGGTCAGGGACCCACTTGAGCTGACAGTCTGTCCATTCTCAGATCTCAAACTCCGTGCTGGGAAAACCACTACTCTCCTCAAAGCTGTCAGACAGGGACATTTACATCTGCAGAGGTTTCTGCTGCTTTTTGTTTAGCTATGCCCTGTCCCCAGATGTGGTGTCTACAGAGGCAGGCAGGCTTCCTTGAGCTGCAGTGGGCTCCACCCAGTTTGAGTTTCCTGGCCACTTTGTTTACCTACTTAAGCCTCAGCAATGGCGGGCACCCCTCCCCCAGCCTCATTGCCACCTGCAGTTAGATCTCAGACTGCTGTGGTAGCAATGAGGGAGGCTCTGTGGGCCTGGGACCCTCCAAGCCAAGCATGGGATATAATCTCCTGGTGTGCCATTTGCTAAGACC